CTTGAGAGCCCCACTCCCCCAACCAATACACCACCACCAGCCGCTCCATTTTCACCCACCGCTTTGAAATCCTAGCCACAGAGATGCCACGGCAGGGCTGACCTCACTGCGAAATCTCCAGGAGCCCTGCCCAGGGCCCGGGAGGAGCCCAGCCACTTCCTCGCCAGCGCAGGCGGAGGGGTGCTAGGTGGCCACGTGGGTGGGAGAAGAAATGGACACGAACTCGCGGAGGATGTTCTTGGCCATGTCGATGTTGTTGTGCGCGATGAGCAGGGCTTTCTGGATGTCCTGGTGGGAGTAGCCCTGGCTCAGGAGGCTCTCGATTTCGCTGGAGAGCCGCGGCGAGGGGGCCGCGGTGGCACCTGGATGGCCCGGCCCTGCCTTCCGCTCAGAGTTGATTCTCCGAGGGAACGGCTTGGGGGGTCTCTCGGGAACTGGGGAACCCTCCGCGAAGTCTAGAAGAAATAAGAAAGAAAACGTCTGCAAACCCGGGGCAACCTCAACTATTGGCAGGAGTCACACCAACGTGCTGCCGTCGGTGTCCGGCCTCCCTCAGGGGGACACAGGCTCCTCAGTCCCAGGCTGGTCTACAGGCCCCCGCGCCTCTTCCCAGCGAGAGCCCCTGCGAACGGCCCACACCTGCCCTCCTGGCTCTCGCCACTGCTGCCCCGCACCTCATCACGTGGCGCCACGCAGCACCCTTGGCAACACACACCACATGCCGGGATTCATGTGTGTTTCTGAGGGGCCGGAGAAGACACTACAATTCTCCTTTTGCAAATAACAAAGCAGAAACGGGCACAATTCACAGTGAAGCATAAACAAGAGGGGCGGCTGGGTCACCACCTGCTTCGGCACTGGAGGCTGCACATCGCTGCCACCAGCTGTCCCCTTGACAGCTCTGGCCGCTGCGCCCCAGCAGCCACAGGTGCAGGAAGACAGCCCTGACAGTCCGGCCCAACTGCGGGCTGGCCCCTGGCCAGCACCCCTTTTCCTAGGGAAGGGGGCTGAGTCCGGAATGCATGGCCTGAACCATCGAGCTCGATGGCCATGTCCTCACATCCTCAGAAGCGCCAGGAGCCCTGGGGGAGCCTGTTTAAGGACACACCTCATTCCTACGTCTGGCCAAACCCCAGGGTCTGACTGCAGTTTAACTGGACCAGCTTCCCGCCCCTCGGACTTCTTAGTTCACTGCTTCCAGCTCCCAGTTCCTGGGCACCAGGCGGGCAGGCATCTCTGCTCAGCATCAAGGAGGAGCCAGGCAGCGCGAGACTCACCTGCGGGGCCGCCTTCCAGAGACAACCAGCCGAAGGAGGAGCTGGCGTTCGAGATGTCGGAGAGTGTCCGGCGGGCCAGAGCTGCGGGCACGGGCGGCTTAGGGACATCGTAGCCCTCATCTTCGTTTTCCCATTCCTCGGGGCCAACGCCGGCAGGGGCTGCAGCCACGTTCCCTTCACCTAGAGCAAAGTGCATGCGTTACCTTTTCCTCACATACTTTACCTTTAACACATGCAACAGAAGGGCATCCATTCATCTTTGCACGCGTGTACAGTCAGTCGTCACTCCAGGTTTACTATGGGCCATGCACCATGTGAGGCCTGTGGGTGGAGACAAGAGAAACAGGAATAAGCCTACCCCTCCCTGTAGCCCCTCCCCGCACAGGCCCAGGCGACCTGCCCTGGGCAGCTCACCAGCATTTACTTTGCATTTCACTCCACGACCAGCAAGGGCCCTGAGCGCGGCCCTTGAGCTTTCAACCTGGGCGCCGGTTAACGCGGAAACTGGCACTCACCACCCGCACAAAAGAAGTTCATTGACGCTAAAAAGCAGCGGGAGCGCCCTGGCTGGTGTGGCTCAGTGGGAAGAGCGCTGGCCTGTGGACTGAAGGGTCCCGGGCGGTTCCCACTCAGGGCACAGGCCCGGGTTGCAGGCTCGGGGGGTGTGCAGGAGGCAGCCGATCCATGGTTGTTCTCTCTCAGCATGGATGCTTCACTCTCCCTTCCTCTGACATCAGTGAAGTAAATCCATAAATAACAAGCAATGGGGAAGGGAGCTGCCACACGGGGTCCCGGCCCTGGAAGGACGGACAGCACAGAGACTCTGGCTGTGCGAACAGGGAGTAAGAGAGAGGCGGCTTTACTGTCCGTGGGTAAAATGTATTTTGCATTAAAATTACTTTCTGCTCAGATCAAGCTCTCACCAGCTAAATGTCCCAGGCTCCTTCCTGGGCCATGCATGACCTCAGGCAGCAGAAAGCTACTCACCAGCAAAGCTGCCCTCTGCGCCGGCCGGTGCCCCCGGGGGCTGCAGGGTGTACATGGCTTCATAGGTGCTGCCGTCCGCCTGCTGGTCGCCGCCACCCGCTCTGACCCGGAAGAAAGCAGCACGAGGTCTCAGAAACAGACGTCTGTTACCTGCAGACCCACTGAGACCCGTCCACTCCCTGCTGCTCTGGACCCTGACCATCAGGCAGCACTGTCCTTTCACCCAGGGTCACTGCGAGGCGGGGAAATCCACTCCTGTGTGCGTAATGGGTGTGTGTGTGTGTGAGGGTAACAGGGGTGTGTGTGTGAGGGTAACGGGTGTGTGTGTGTGTGTGAGGGTAATGGGTGTGTGTGAGGGTAACGGGTGTGTGTGAGGGTAACGGGTGTGTGTGTGTGTGTGAGGGTAATGGGTGTGTGTGAGGGTAACGGGTGTGTGTGAGGGTAACGGGTGTGTGTGTGTGTGTGTGAGGGTAACGGGTGTGTGTGCGAGGGTGCTGTGGTGTGTGTGTGTGTACTGTGGTGTGTGTGTGTTGTGAGGGTGCTGTGGTGTGTGGGCGCTGTGGTGTGTGGGCGCTGTGGTGTGTGCGTGCTGTGGTGTGTGTGTGTGCTGTGGTGTGTGTGTGTGTGGTGTGCCGCCCGTGCGGGACTCTCAGACGGTCCCACAGTCGGAGCTATGAGAACGCGCGCTGTGGTGTGGAGGAAACAGAAGTGGATTTGCTTAAGCTGTGAGCAGGCTGAAGCCTGAGCTGGGACTGGGGCTCACGTGTGCTGCGAGGCAGCAGTGGGCGAGCGGGGCGGCTGGGAACCCACCGTAGGCTCGGGGCGGTCTCGAAGGGCTGCTTCCCCTCCGGCTTCTGAAGGCCCATGGGCCTCGAGGAGGGAGTCATGTACTCGGCGTCCTCCTCGCTCTCACGCTGCGACCCGGGCAACAGCGTGGGCACAGGAAGAGGCCTGGAAGAGGAATGAACACAGAAAAAGAAAGCAAAGAAGCTGGAAAACCTCTGAGTGTGAAACAAGGTTTCACAGCCACCACAGCTCCAATGTGAGAGCAAAACAGGTGCCGGCAGGGGACTCTGCCCCTCCGGGCCCAGGGGCCTGCGAACAGCACACTCCTCCGAGGGGCGGGGCGGCACAGGGTAAGTGGTGATGGACGGGGAGCTGGCCCAGGTGGTGAACACACTGTGCAGAGGACGTGCTGTCGGCTGTGCACCTGAAGCCTGTATAATTCTGCGAACCAGTGTCACCCCGATAAACTCTATGGAGGGGAAATGTTAATAAAAACACACTAACTTCCATTTCACTTTTAACTGGCCACGGCGAGCTGCGTGCTGAGCAGCGTGCACTGGGAGGGGCTCTGTGCCAGGGGCCGGCCCCGCACCGGGCCATGGCTGTCGCGGGCTCTGTCCCTGACCGCACACCTCAGCTCCAACACCTCCTTGCTGAAAGCTTTCTGATATATCATCTTGTAGCATAAGCAGTTTCCTACTCATACTGTGCCAGGAAAATAGGAAATAAAAAGATATAAAGTGCCATGGCCGTCAGCGTCAATCCCTGGCCTTCCGGGATCTGGCCCCTGCACTCACACATAATTCTCAAATATTAACCCAACTCCGCCTGTCACCCCACTCTCTAAGACGAGGCAAAGAGGAATCAGCATGAAAGAGCCGACAAACCCCGCAATCCTGTGAGAAGCATACACGGGGAGCACAGCTGCTCCTGGGGATAGGAGTGAGTGAGTTTCTCCTCCCTCCTCACTGTGCTTTTTTGCACATTCTAAATATTCTAAGAAACACCTATTGGATTTGTCAGTCAGTGTTTACTTGATGTTTAGTTTGCCTAATTGTAAAAGCAAAAGCTGCTTATTAAAAACACTTAAATGCTACAGAAACCTAACAGAGGACCATCCCCTATAATCTCACTTCAGAGTTTTTCTATTTCTTCCTATTATGTTTATTATTTGTGCATTGCATGCTAGTTTTGAAGTAGAACTGTATTGGTATCTACAATGTGCCTGGAGATGCATCGATAAAGTAAGAAAGATTGATGGATGGGTAAAAATACAGATAGATAAATGTGTGATAAAACAAGCATACTAAAATACTAATGGTAGAACCCTAGGTGGTGAATATACGAATGTTCACTGTAAAAAATCTTTCACTCTTGCTCAGCTGGTGTCGCTCAGTGGTTTAGCATCAACATGAACCAGGAGGTCACAGTTCAATTCCCAATCAGAGCACATGCCTGGGTTGTGGGCTCAATCCCCAGTAGGGGACGTGCAGAAGACAACTAATCAATGATTCTCATCATTGATGTTTCTATCTCTCTGTCTCTCTCCCTTCTTCTCTGAAATAAATAAAAATATGTTTTTAAAAAATCTTTCACTCTTACTCTATGTTCTAAAACTTTTCATAATAAAATGTTTGGGGGTGGGGGGCAACCCATAAAGATTAGCAAAAAAAAACACAAGTATTGGTGAAGATGTAGGAAAAAGGGTATTTTCTTTTTTAAATGGATAATTTCTTATAAATATATGCTATAACTTTTCGGGAGTGTAATTCAACAAAAGTATTTAACCAAACATGCAAACCCTTATACTCAGAAATTCCATTTCTAGGAATTTCCCTGAGGAAATAATCAAGAATGTCCACCATAGCATTATTTATACTAAAACAACCGGCAACAACCTGTCAAATAACAATGAGCTGACCACATTTTAAACCTCCCCACCCCTCCCCCCACACCCGACTGAAGCTGACTGTCCCTTAGCGCTCGGCGGCCTCTGCCCTGCACAGTAGGCTTAGTATTCCCACAGGGAGAGCGCACTGAGGTCAGCCCCTCTGCTTTGTGAGCAGCTGGAATAATCTGGAAATCATTGCAGCAGCAGAATATGTAATGACATCCTAAGATGTCTGAGACACTCCTAGTGAAAAGCAGCATGTGCAGTATAACCCCGTACACACGGAACAGTGGTGAACACACAGCACATGCTCACTGAGGTAAGGCTATGGATGACTTCCATTTCTTCAGCATTGCTTGTCTGTACTTTCTATATATTCTTTACTTAGCACGTTACTTCCATAAAAAGAAAAAAGTCATTACAAGGGCAATAAAATTTTAAATTATAATTCTTTTTGTTGATGAGTTACTCTCTCTATATAAAAGCATAATATGCTAATTAGACCAGACAGCCAAACAACCTTCTGGACGAAGCCGGGGCTGCGAGGGCCAAGCCCCTTGCACTATTTCATGTATCGGGACTCTAGTCTAATAATAATAAAAGTGTAGTATGCTAATTAGACCAGATGTCCTTCCAGATGACTTTCCAGATGAAGCCGGTGCTGCAAGGGAAGCCTGGGTCTTGGGTGCCTGCCGGCGGCCAGGGGAAGCCTGGGTCCTGGGTGTCAGAGGGAAGCCAGTGCCGGCAGCCGGGGGAAGGAAGGCCTACTCTTGCATGAATTTTGTGCATCGGGCCTCTAGTAAAAACATAAAAATGCACCTCCTCATTAAGCATTCTGCCAACACATATTTTATTTTTTAAATATATTTTTTCATTGATTTCAGAGAGGAAGGGAGCGGGAGAGAGCTAGAAACATCAATGAGGAGAGAGAACCACTGACTGGCTGCCTCCTGCATGCTCCCTATTGGGGATCGAGCCTGCAACCCCAGGGATGTGTTTTGACCGGAATCGAACCCCGGATCTTCGGTCCACAGGCCGACACTCTACCCACTGACCCACACCAGCCAGGGCCCAGCACATATTTTAAAACATTCACCATCTTTAGTCACAAAAATTCTACTTTGGCTGCATCTCTGATTATGTAAAAAAAGTTCTTCAAAACAAATTTATTACAGTAAAGCTTTTAAACAAAATAAATACACAACAGTACAGGAATAATTAAAATATGTGATAGTAATAGTCACATTATATATGTAATCATTAAAAGTACAGATTTTGGAGAACTTTTTAAATAGGGAGAAATGCGCAAGATATAATGCTAAAAAAGGAGAGACTATAAAACTCTATCTTGATCTAAAACATATATACATTTTACATGTTTACAGCCATGGCCAAACAACAAGCTATCTAACCATCTGCCTAGAACAGCCAACTAAAGCAGCACGATAAAATACAAAAGAAAGAAGGCACTGGGAGAGAAAGCGGGAACCCTATGGTCTCACTCATGTGCGGGACATAAAACCGAAACTCGCCCACACAAGCAGCAGTGTGGTGGGGCCAGAGGGAAGGGGTGTAGGTGTGGGGAGAAGGGGGCCTAATATGAGGTGACAGAAAGTGATTTCACTCTGGTGGTAGGGACACCATGCACTACAGATCTGGTCACACAGAAACCCACACCTGAAACCTACATGCTCATGGTGACCAATGTCACCCCAATCAACTGAAACAGAAGGCTCTGAGGGCAACCGGACAGCCAGCGCTTGCGAGGGGCCGGGCTCCGGAGAGGAGAGCACACTGCCGGAAGCACCACACTGCACCTGGGGTTTCCAGGTGGTTTCAACAGGCCGGGAATTCGGGGTATCAGGATGGCCCATCTGTGAGGGCCAACAATTCCGGAGAAAAGAGGAGCAGAGGAAGAGAGTTAAACTGTGCTGCAGGGTCCCTGGAGTCATGCTGACCCCTGACCCGTGTGCCTGGAGTCATGCTGACCCCTGACCCGTGTGCCTGGAGTCATGCTGACCCCTGACCCGTGTGCCTGGAGTCATGCTGACCCCTGACCTGTGTGCCTGGAGGTGGCTTCTGGTTCCTCAGGTGACAGCAGCTGCCAAGGAGGAGCAGATGCTGGCTGTGCTGCCAGCTGGATAACAGGCAGGCCTCTCTAATAACCACGTGTTCAATAAGAGAGGAGAGTGGGGAATTTTTATTAGAAAACTAAAATCAATACATTTTTTAAAATGACATGGAAATTCTAGAACCCAAAATTATTCTATCTGGCCCTAGCCAGTGTGGGTCAATGGATAGAGCTCGGCCTGCGAACTGAAGGGTCCCAGGTTCGATTCCGGTCAAGGGCATGTACCTCAGTTGCAGGCTCCTCCCTACCCTGGACCCTGGTTGGGACCCTGGAGGCAACCAATCGATGCGTTTCTCTCACATCAATGTTTCTCTCTGTCTTTCCCTCTCCCTTCCACTCTCCCTAAGAATCAATGGGAAAATATCCTCAGATGAGGATTAAAAATAAACATAAAACCGCCCTAACAGGTTTGGCTCAGTGGATGGAGTGTCGGCCTACAGACTGAAGGGTCCCAGGTTCGATTCCGGGCAGGGGCACATGCCTAGGCTGCGGGCTCAATCCCATATTTTTAAAAACCCATAGTATCTGAAAATACAAATTCAACAGATGGACTTAGGGCAGATTAGACACTGCAAAATGATAAAGGAAGTTGGAATATAACAGGAACTATTCCGAATAAAGAGGAAAAAAAGAAAACAGATATGAGTACACCACCTGTTAGGAATGGCGCCAAGCAGCCCCTCAGGTGACAGGCGTCCCAGCAGGGGAGGAAAAGAGACTGCACTACTCAGGCTACTTAAGAAGCAGTGGGCGAGAATTTTCTAAGACATTCACATCGAAACACAAAAAGCAGTAAAGCCCACACACCTCAAGGACGTTCAGAAAACTGCTGGGATCCAAAGACAAGGTGCAGAGGGGAGACACCGCCTTTAGGGGAGCACACGGAGGCCGGGCAGCCAGGAGGCAGGGCGCTGCTCTTGTAAAGCACCTATGATAGTAACTCTAGCGCAATGCTCTACGCAGGGAAAATATCTTTCAAAAATGTTAAAGTGAAATGAAAGATTTTCTGTCAAACAGAAGGTGTTTTCCATCAAACAAAGTCTGGGAGCATTCACTGGTGGGAGACACACACAGTCAGCAACCCCCTCCTCGCCCCCTCCCTCCCGCCCCCTCCCCGCCTGTACGCTCCGTCTCTGTCTCTAA